TTGATACAACCGACTTCAACCCGAGAAGACGCTGGCGGAGGATTCAAGAACTTGCGCGGCATTTCTGGAAAATATGGATGCGGGAATGGTTGCCGAGCCTTAACACGCGCAGAAAGTGGAATAAACAAGGTGGAAACTTGCAAGAAACAGATGTCGTGCTGGTCATCTCACAAAACACTTCGAGAGGACAGTGGAAGCTCGGGACAATAGTGAAGACCTACCCGGGAGCTGATGGACATGTCAGAGTAGTTGATGTCAGGGTTGGCAAAAATGTACTAACAAGGTCAATAAAGAACATCAGTCCACTGGAATGGAATGACGGAGATGGAGACACGAAGGACTAAACATCGGAATTGAAGAATACCAGGATGCGGATTTTAAGGGACAGGGACTGTGCAAAGAACTGTGCCAGGAGGATCAAGCATTCAGGGATCAAGTATTCGGGATCTGTGTCAAGAATTATCAAGAACTGTGACAAGAAATGTGTTCATGGATTTATATGAAAAGTAAGTAAAATTGATATTTTATACTTATCCTGACTCATGATCTTTTGCTTATCTCCCTTTCCTCTTCGAATGGTAGTGGAACACTTGAATCCCTTGAAGTTCCCGAAGCGGACGTATAAATACTCACCCACGAGTTACCTCCCTTGCCCTTTCCCGCGCAAACGTACCATGTGACGAATCCATACTTGTCACTCTCTCCTTATTTTCCGCCCATGCACTTGGATCTGCTGTGAAATCACAAGTGTCTTCAACGGGGAGGTTGGGAGGGCTTGTTCGTCATGAGTCAGGATAAGTATAAAATATCAATTTTACTTAAAAAATAACTTATTTTTCCTTATCCTGACTCATGATCTTTTGCTTACAGAATCCGTCGGAATAGGTGGTGGGTCAAGCCACTGGATTCAACAGCTGTCCTTAGATACGTCCTGTATCCCCCCCATGGGAACTGCGAACAGCTTTTCCGTGGTCCTATTCTTCCAACTTCCGTTGTAACTCGGATGGACCACTTCTTGTCTTACTTCAATCTCAGACAAGTTGAATCATGTTGATTCATTGTGGCTATAGATAAACTAGTATTCTCCTATTACTAGATATCTTATAACAACCCATAGATTATGATAAGATCTTTATCATAAATGAGTTGCGATCCCTTCATGTGCAGGTAAGATCTTTACCCGTACAGGATCTTTAATCACTCATGCTAGCCTATCCTAGACTGTGCGCATGGACTTTCAAACTAATACTTTTCCTTAGTAAAAGTCATCTACAAGTCAGCGTGATAAAGGGTGAGATTTTCCAACTCAGTGCCTTTGAGGAACCGTTAGTTGCTGTGCTACAACGAGAGGTCCAAATTGGTGAATGCCTGAGACGTCTTCAGTGGCTATGTCTCGGAGGTAGTGGTTGGCAAACACCGTATCCGACTTCCAAAAGCAGCCCTCCATGATTGTCGGTATAGAGCAATTTCCGTGCAGAGCTAGTGTTGACGCCAGTGCTCTGACTTCGTGTGTGGTTGGAAGCTCAAGGAGGTTCTAGTTCTGCTGCTTTATAGGCTCTCAATATAACGGCTCTCATCCAGAACGATATGGTCGTTCTTGAGACTTCTGCTGAAGTCTCCGTTGATAATGGGATGAACAGGCGCTTGAATTTCCTTCTCCTTGTCTCAGTCTTTTGAAGATATATCTTCAGGGCTCTGACTGGGTCCTCTATATCTTTATGGTCCGAGGACTGTACACAGCGCTGGTACGTGGAACTGTCTATCTGGTTGACAAGGTAGTTGGTTCTTGGCAATAAAGTCCCATCTAAGTCCTAGATGAACTGCATTATGTTGCCCTCTATCGAATGTGGTTTGACCATAGTCCAGCGCATGTATCTCCGATATGCGAGCTGCAGTGGCTAACGCTAGCAGGAACAGCGTCTTCTGTGTTAGCAGCTTGATCGTGATCTGGTCTAGTGGTACGTAGACATCACTGGTAAGATGACGCAGAATTACATTTAGATCCCAGGCTGGAGCTCTGAATTTCTTTTGCTGGTCCTCCAGCTTAAAAGATCTCAGCAGAGCGAGTAATTCTGGTACTTTCGTCAACTTGATGCCTGTTTTCATGGTAATTACTGTACTGATTGCAGCGAGGTATGTAGATAGAGTCGAACCCTTCAGATGTCTGGTTTGTCTCAGATGACATAGATATTCCGCCACTTGAGGATGAGTGGCTATCATCGCTGTGAAACCTTTCCGCCTTGCATAAGTCTCAAACTTCAGCCATTTGTCGTCGTATAAGTTGCAAGTCAATCTGCGTAACGCTAGCGTTACTGCTTTGGCTGCCCTGGCGGAGTATCCTCTTTTCTTCAAGCATGTTTTGATACGGTCCACACGTGTAACTGGAACACTGTTGGGTTTCCGTGGGCTTGCTTGGTGTGCGGATGTATCAGAAGGTTTGGCCAATCTGGTAACGGGTTTCCTAGATTTCCAATTAGGTCTGGAAACCATGCTCTCGCTGGTCAATAGGGCACGACCAAAGTCAGTTGTAGCTTCTGAGTCTGTTTGATCTTGACCAATACTTTTGGCAGTAGCATCGGGGGTGGAAAAGCGTAGCCGTTTAGTCCTTCCCACGACATGCTCAGTGCATCTGTTGCCCAGGTTTGAGGATCTGGAACTGGTGAGACGAACGTCTGTAGTTGTTTGTTGAACCTCGTGGCAAACAGGTCCATGGAAGGGAATCCTATCTCCCTTATGTTCCGAAACGCTTCTGGATGGAGCATCCATTCCGTAGGTGACGGGTGTAGTGGTCTTGAGAGAGCGACTGCCAGTACGTTCTTGGCTCCGGGTATGTGACACGCCTTTATCCAGACGTTTGCTTCCTGCGTAATCTGGAACAACTGGAATGTGAGCTGCAACAGGCTTGGAGATCGTGTGGATCCTTGCCGATTTATGGAGAACGCCACTGTGGAGTTGTCCGTGTGGATCATCAACATCTTGTTGTTCAGCAAGCTCGACCATAGTTGTAAGGCGTTGATCACTGCTTTCATCTCTAGCAGAATGATGTGAAGGTTGTCAGGTACGCTTGATATAGGTTCGATCGGGGGAATTGTGACGGAGTCGAAGTCATCATCCTGCATCATGTAAGTATAGACTTCATTCCTATCCTTAGGAGGAGACTCCAAGTTCAACCCGTTAGCAATCCATGCTGTAACTTCTGAGTCTGGGAAGACGAGGTCTCCTGAGTAAATGAGCTATGTCTTGTGATATATATCTGTCCTGGGTTCGCGAGCCTTCATCCTGGGTTCGCGAACTTGCAGCTGAAGATTCCTCCCTGTGCGAATGTCTATCCTGAGAGTGTTCTCTTCGCGAACGTCTTTCTCTGGATTCCTCCCTTAGCGAACCTCTGTGAGGTGAGCTGTGCCTTCGCGACGTCTGCGTTGAGGTGAATAGCTTCGCGAACGTCTGTCTTGACCTAGAATGGCTAGGTGTAGAGGCAGGATCCTTGGAGGTTCGCGAACGCTGAGGGTTCGCGAACCTGGGCAGTGCATCATCTTGACTATCTTCCAGTATGACGGAGTCGTCCGGTTGTGGAGCCCTTCGCGAAGGTGTACGTTCGCCAACGTCATCTGCAGGTGTAGCTCTGATGGGTGTAGATTCGCGCAGGCCTGGGGGTTTGTGCACGGTGTCGGAAGATGGGAGGCTCTTCCTAGCCTTCGATTCCTCCTGGAATCTCCGCTCCATCATGGTCATCATCTGGTTGGTGAACTGCGTCATGAATTCCCCAGGGTCGAAGTTCTGCATCGGTTGACGCTGCTGCGATGTTGTAGAAGCGTTCGCGAACGCTGATGGGTTCTGTGCCTCAACTTCAATCCGCGAAGTAAGAGGTCTTATGTCGAACAGCTGTCCTGCTGTGACATTAGTGGGGGACGATCTCGTAGTAGTAGAGGTCGACTGCGTCGCTGATCTCATCGATACTTCAGGTAGAAGTATAGGGGGGTCATCAAAAACGTCTTTTTCGTGAGGCGGTACAATCTCTTCAATGAAGGATTTCTGGTGCGTAGATGCGTTCGCACGTGTAGCCTTGCCCTCAGATCTGGTACCGTAGACTACTTCTGCGTAGTAGAAGAGGACGACGTCTTTTTCGTAGACTGGGACGGCGTAGACTGAGAGGTAGACGACCTTTTCTTAGCTCCCTTTGCAGCAGACTGGCCCTGTAACGTACTAAGCATAACACCAGTATTATGAACATCGGCAGCAAGTAACATACGGTTTGTAGGCTGATCTGCAGACTTTTTCACCCGATCCATGGCACGTCTATAAACATAAGACAAATATTGATTAAATTGTAGATTAGATAAATCAATACAATGAGTACAGCGCAAGCTGGATGAACATGGATTTATGCACGAAGGACATTGGGGGTGAGGATCAGCCACGGATAACCTGTGCCTGCAAACACTGCAGATTTCATGAAATGTAAACAAAGTTACATAACAATGAAAACACAACTCAAATTTCAACTCAACTTCAAGGGATTCAAGTGTTCCACTACCATTCGAAGAGGAAAGGGAGATAAGCAAAAGATCATGAGTCAGGATAAGGAAAAATATGATATTAGGCCTAAAAAAATAGTGTCTTGTTTCTGGTTTCCGACCGCGTCAGTTTCAACCCAGCGCGTCAAGCGTATTTTTACCGGATTTTAAATGGGCCAAAGGGAGGTAACTCTATGCTGTATCGTCGTAACTGGGGAAAACATGTACAGCCGGGAAACTCAAAATGCTACTCGTTTCTGTCCAAATAGAGTGTGGGGGTAAGATTATAAGGTCGTTTGGCCTTGTGGAATGTAGTCTGGATATATCGCTACTCGATTTATACGAGTCACTGAGGAAAGGGCATTTTTCAACGGGTGACAAGTTTGTTTTACCAGCTGAATATGAAGACTGCGTGGTGGCGGTTTCAGTTGGAGATAAACAATCTGGTCCATTCCAGTCAGTTCCATGGACCGTAAGCTTGAATTTGGTAAATACATGGTTTACCACTTGCAATTCGGCGATGGCAAGGCGCAAGGAACTCATTTGCCGAAGAAAAATGCCTTTCAATCTCTTATGATGTAGCAAGTTTCCAAAGTTTGGCCAGCATTCATGCCCATACAAAGACCAAATAGACGTTTTTAACTGCACAACAGTATCATAAGATGGCTGCAAGAAAACAACTTGGGGTGGACAGTGGCATATAAATCACTTGGTGAAAACTTAATCAGCGTTTTAGGTATGTATAAACACAAACACACACATGCACACACTTTAAAAATATAATTTCATAAATATAAATAGTCCTAAGTATTAACGAATTATACACATGTATAAATATGTATTTCTACATGTTAACTGAAATTTCATTTCAAATTTTAACAAATACATAAATATTTCATGGTGATATTCTAAATTACTTTCAAACAAATTATAATAATTTCATGGATATAAAAATATTCAAATCTAATTCATTGTGTTTATTTTTCCTTAGATATTTTAGATAATAAATTGTCAAAATATAAAATGTGCCACTGCAATAGTATGAAAGTATACACATCTTTCAATTCATTATTTCATGTGAACTTGTCTGCTACCAGGCGATGGCCTTTGGATGGTTGATCCCCATACAACAAACCTGAAGCTGCAGCAGTGTATGCTGCCTCCAGAGTTTGATATTTTTCAAGGTTACAACATCCCCAAAAGTCACCAACATGTCCCAAAAAACCTGTCAGCAGATGAACTAACAGTCTCATCGCAACGCCTCTTCAACATTCTTGAACAGGTATTGATAAATTTGAATCTAAATATTTTTCATGAATGTAATATGAGAGCTTTGAAAACATCTTAAAATTTCATTGTAGTATTTACACATTTCAAACTCTCAATTAAAAAGTATCAAATAATACTAATCCTCAAAGTCACTCTGAAATATTTCTCTCTTTCAGTCTTGGATTCAGTCCAGTGCATGGAAATCTGTCTATGAAGCAGTCAAGATGTTTGCCTCATCCCTCACTAAGTATTCAGCATACTTGAGCAGTCAAAGTGTTGGAGAATCACAAGCAGACAGTAGTGGTACATTTCTAAATCCTTTTTGAATATGTGGTTGTTTAATATAAAATGAAAGGAATTGTAGAACTGTCAAGATATTCATAATTATTATTTTTTAACTTTAACTTTGTACATTTATTGAAATGCTTTATGTATTTGTAAATTTTAACTATAAATTGTATATTTATATACTTATCCTATCTCACGACTTGCACCTCTCTCTCTTCATTCGACCATGAGTGGAAACGAATTAAACTTTGCTCCAGGCTTTCCTTGTCCCTGTCCCTGTGCTGTGCATGCTTTCCTGCCTTAGCCATGCTCACTAGGCCGTGACAGCACGTGGCATGCGCAGTCCTCACCCACGTGATCACCTTCCATACTCATTCTCGATCTTGGAGCCATAAAAGGACAAAACCGGAACGGTGGTAATCTAAGTAGTGGGGAGGTAGGGTGGGACTTTATCGCGTGAGATAGGATAAGTATATAAATATACAATTTATAGTTAAAATTTCCAAATTTTTAAACTTATCCTATCTCACGACTTGCACTTATCCCACGGTAGGAAGGTGGGTCATAGATTACCCCGAAGTTCAAGCGATAACAGCTAAGCGTTATGCCAAAACAACCGTAGGAAGCAGCTACAAGGCAGGCCAATAACTACCAAAGTTACTATGTGTGGGGGTTAGTGCGAACCCATTGACTTACTAAGCACAAGTGCTCCAGGGACCGGGATTCCCGAGCAATGTTGTGTTCAGTCACTACCTTCACGACAGTGAAAGGACGCAGCTTAGCGAGTGTAATCAGTCGCATTACCACGATTTCCAAGGTCTGACGACCAGTATCGGGCCAGCCCCTGCTTCGAAACAACCTCCACAGACACCGTCCCGTGGAGGGTGAAAGGGTAATTGAATCGGAAAACTCACAAGTCCCAGAAGAATCGTAGACACAAATCAGAAATAAAATTCAGAATTTTATTCAGATTGTACACAAAGCAGAAACGATCGCAACTGGTGATGATCTGCGCTGAAGCTGATGGTTGTCCCGAGTGCCCGAACAGGTCTACATCTGGTCGTGATAACAGGTAGATCTTTGATTGGAAGGTCAGAGGCAGTTGTTTCCGCTCCGTGAGTGACAGGGCATCGGCAATGACATTCCTCATCCTGGGAATGTGTCGGGCTCTGGCCACTGTGTGGAGTGAATCGATCAGATGATAAATTCGAAACATCAACTGAAGCAGAGCTGCTGATCCTGTCGACCCCTGATGGTTTATGTACAAAATTACCATCGAAATGTCTGATTGAATCAGTATATGAGTGAACCGTAGTTCAACTGCCCAATGCCAAACGGCGAGAATGACCGTGCTGAATTCCAATTCGTTGTGATGAAGGGCCCTTTCTCCTGATGACCACTGCTAGGCCACTTGATGGAGAAAGTGAGCGCCCCAGCTTGAAAGATGTGTCAACGAACAGGTGTTGAGTTGGTATGAAGGGCACCATAGAGACTCCAACACAAACATTCCACTTGTTGAGCCATCAACGAAAAACTGAATGTAGTTGTGCGGGAAGACGAATCAACTCCCTGGGGTTGTCGTCCCCGATGTATGGGCACAGAAACATCTGAAGCGGTCGAAGCTGCAGCTGGCCCCTGTAAGTCAGCGCTTGTGCCGACGTCAACCACCCTAGTAACTTCTGCCACTGGCGAAAAGTTGTGGGTTGGACCAGCACTAGTGGTGCGTTGCACTGAATCTTGTCCCACCTCTCCTGGGGCACAAACATCATGACCTGTCGTGTTGAATATTGTCCCAATAAAAAGAAATCATCGGGTCGGTGTTACCTCCGATTTCTCCGAATTTAGCAGCCATCCTAATTGCGTGAGCAGCTTGATGATGAACTGCCTGTGGAGAGGAAGGACGACTGGATCCTGCTGGGCTTGAACACAGTCGTCGATATAGTTCTCAAATGTCACGCCTCGACAATGCAGGTAGCTTGTTATCGGATTGGGTATCTGAGTAAAAAGCAACGGGGCCGCACATATGCCCATACAGCAGGACCCTCCATTGGTATCAATGACGCCCCTTGAAAGTATATCGAAGATACTTCCGATTGTCTGGATGTATCCGGATGTGAAGGTAGGCATCTTGCAGGTCGAGGGACTGACTGACTGACTGACTGAGTTTAGTTTTACGCCACTTTTAGCAATAACCCAGCAACATCACAGCGGGGAACACCAGAAATGGGCTTAACACATTGTGCCCTTGTGGGGAATCGAACCCGGGTCTTCGGGGTGACGAGCCAACCCTTTAACCACTAGGCTACCCGATGGCCCTCGCAGGTCGAGGGAAATGAGAGGTCTAACCACTCTTGCCTCTGACAAAAAGATATCTCCTGATATAAGAACGTTCAATAAGTCGAGCAACTATGTCAGTTCAATGTTCGGCGCATGGAGATTGTCAGTCAATCTACAGGAACGTTCACATTGTAAACGAATTGAAGAAATTCGTACGATTGGTGATCTCAGGAACGTTTCGGTTGGCCAAACAAAATGATGGTTCGCCAGGTGGAGTGATAAAGGTAGTAGATCGCTGCCTGGTGACAGTCCTTGCATAACTGCAGTGACCTCTGAACTCAGTGCTTGAGCTAGTCAAACCGTTCACGGGTGTTTCTGTCTGTCACCCTCGATAAGCAGTCTCTCTCGACTGGCTATCGAAATCCCGACACGATCACTCTTACCGGGAATAGCAGCGTTCATTGTTACTAGCATTTAAAGGCTGGACTTGGTATCCGATTCGTGGGACCAAGACAAGTCTGCAAGGGCACTTCAAAGTCACTCTAATCATCAAAATTCCGGTAAACAAACAGAAGTCCGCCATTTGCAAACGTTACACACGAGTGACAAAAAAACGGACAACACAGTCTTCGGTTAAACGGGCGAGTCGCAACCCATAAATTCCGGGCTGAGTTATGCTGGCTATTTGACAAAACATCACTGCTGGTACCATGCGCAAAAACTTCACCCATCCAGAAACTTGCTTATCATGTAAAACAAGGGAGCTGAAGATGACGAACCATCTGCAACAATTGTACCCAGCGATACACAAACACGCTGTTACCAGTAGTCTGTAGTAACAAGACTCAGTGGAACGTCGTAAAGTATTCCTGGCTAGCAAACGTAACTAGTAATGCCATATCGGGTAGTTGTAGAACTGATATTTACACCGAAGGGTAGAATTGTTGAACCGAATCATTCATCAAAGGTGAAGATCGGATGGTAGATTAAATCTGGAATGAGATGAGCCCCGGTCACGGAGGACTCTTGAGAACTGGGATCGTCAGACCGTCAAGTGCCGAGCGTGATATCTCTAGATGACTGCGCTACTGACATCACATGTAAATCAATTCGGCATGGTGAAGCACATAGCTACTACCTCTGTACAACCATCCGAAAAAGGGGTACAAGGTGGGATAAGTTATGTGACTACAACATTAAGCACCTCACAAGCCGTAAGGTAAACCGGATAAACAAATCAATTTGTCGAGCTTAGAGCTTGCCACTTCGTAATGAGGAATCCAGCGCCTCACAGATGCCCTGAAAACTATGATCGTGTCCGACAAATTTGGCCCTATCTAGATGCAAGTTCACAAACCTCGTTGAGGATGTGGAAAACCAGTGTTGACAAGTCCCAATCCTTCATGTTGAATGTAATCAATAGAACATCTGGTATCTTTCTCTAGGTAGCTGTAGGTGGTCGGCGAACCATGCGATCATGTGTGTCGAATCAACCAAAACCATTCCTGCATCTTATAGGCGACTGGCGTAGCCCGAGCCATGAAAACAAAAACAAGGTTCGATGTGGGTTAAGTGTCTTGGGAGGCATCCCAGACACATTTGGCATAGGCTCTGATAGGCTGGTAAGATGCGCCGTGTTGGAAATAACACGAGTGGTGAATCGCCCAATTCATGAATAAGCTCAATTGCGGGCAAGGTCCGAGGAACGGATTACTGACGAAAGTTGACAGTTCGATGAATGCTGACAATTCAGTGATCTTGAACGGCCAGGTGAACTGGTTCGACGATAGGGAGCTTTTCGGCCTGGTGAAACGGTACAAGTCGGGCTGGTAAATCGGTTCAGGGTGATGAGCCGGAATGTAACTTTATTACGCTGAGCGCAAAACTTCGTTTCTGGCCTGAACAGGCTTAACCATGTTGAGCAATTATCAGACGAAAAAAATTCACGTCCACTCTGTCCAGCGACAAGAAAGAAAATGAGTATGGAAGGTGATCACGTGGGTGAGGACTGCGCATGCCACGTGCTGTCACGGCCTAGTGAGCATGGCTAAGGCAGGAAGGCATGCACAGCACGGGGACAGGGACAAGGAAGGCCTGGAGCAAAGTTTAATTCGTTTCCACTCATGGTCGAATGAAGAGAGAGAGGTGCAAGTCGTGAGATAAGATAAGTTTAAAATTTATATATTATATATTGTTATGAAAATATGGATTGAAAAATAACAAACTTGAAACTGATGTTTGAAATGTTTGCATACTCTCTCAAGTCATATTTTTGTTTTCAGGTGAGGAAATTGAGTGATGCAGTGGCAGTGTTCAGACTTCCACATAGACTTCAACAGCGTTTTGATGTGGCCAAACAACTTTCAGCTATCACAAGCCTACTGTCTCCATTGGAGAACTTTCAGTTTGTTTCTATCAGTGATGTGCTACCGATTGACAGACAAGAGCGGTTCAAAATCACAGACCTGCTGAAAGCAAATGGTCTCACATTCAAGTCTGTACTCTACTCACACTCACCTGGTTGCAGTATTCCAAATTTGCACTTTATGTGGAAGGAGCCAGTAGACATTTCTGAGAATGAATCTGAAACAAAGACTGCCCAGTTGTCTGCTGAAATACAACAACTTGTGCCAAATTACCATACAAGAGCCATACGTTGCGTTTTGCAGAAAAGATCAGTTTGGTTGCCACCATGAAACCAGTGTATGTGAGGGAAATCTATGCTTAGTTGACTGGTGATGCAACAACCTCATCGTCCTCTTCTGACATTGACAGTCGTGCTAAACTTATGATGGAGCTGAAAGATCCAAAAGTGGTAGTTGACTTGCGAGATCATAATCCAGGGCGTCCTCCCGTTTATGGCAGGTTCTTTGATGAAGTCGGGAAATATGTGAACAATGTTGTAGAGACAGCTGTACATGAACGAAGACATGAATCGGTCACCTACCTAGCAAAGGCCATGTCCATTTCACATTTGCTGAATGAAGTGAAGAAAAGACTTCCTCCTGATACATCAGTCCAATCTAAACAGTGGCTTCGTCTGCAGTTTTGGCCCAAAAACCCAACAAGCAAAGCTTCTTTGCAGTATACCAGGGACTTGGAGGTTAAGTATATGGTTCAACAGAGACAACTCCGTAAACCACATGTTGATGTTCATTATGCAGCAGCATACTTCAAATACCTGAAAGAATATCCTGTGGACTTCAGGGATCATTTCACAATGTTCTGTGTAGACGACAAGCACAAAGTGAAAGTTGGAGAGCCAGGATGTCCTGTTGCTGCTGTAGATAGAGGACGGCAGGTGTTGGTTGGATTGAATGAAATATTTCAAGTGGCAGATCATGACTTTACCAAGTTGTCGCTCACACCTAGTGTGTGTCTTGAAGTGGATGTACCCAAAGATTTGTGTGGATCATTCTACAGGGGCACTGTACATGTGGGCCTAAAGGACAGTGTGTTTCAGCCATCCTCTCCACCACGCCATGCAGTGGAACAGAAGTCTATCATTGGTCAAGAACCAAAAGAGATCTTGCTTTTGTACTCAGATGGTGGGCCTGACCACCGAGTTAACTACCTGTCTGTTCAGCTATCTATCATTGCCCTTTTCCTTGACAAAAACTATGATGCTGTTATTGCAGTTCGCACACCACCTGGACATTCATGGATGAATCCATGTGAAAGAATAATGTCTATGCTTAATCTCTCTCTGCAGTCAGTTGGTGTAATGAGAAAGGCTTTGGACTCAAACCTTGAAACCCACCTGATGAAATGTAACAGTATGCAAAACATCAGGGATGATGCAAAAAAGGTCCCAACACTCAAAGATGCTGTTATTGACAGTGTTCAGCAGCCAATTCTTTTGTTGACAGAATTATTTACGAATTTGTCTCTGAAAGAAGTCCCTTTGAAATCTACCCAAGTGCATCAGATGAAGACCTCAAAGAATTTGCTGGTAATCTGAATGTGATAGATGCTACATTATCACCTGACATGACAAAGAAAATGGCTCAGAAGTTACCCAAATTCCTTCAATTTATGGAAAAACATTGCCAGGAAAGACACTATTCCTTCTGTGTCAAAAAATGCAGTGACAAGGATTGCAAATTCCACTCTGTACCACGTCTTGAACCAGACGTATTCAGCAAGATTCATTTCTTGCCTGACCCAGTTCTGGACACAGTGAATACAAGAGAAGGCACTCATTATCTACCATTTCAGGAGGTGTATGGGACAATCACCACAGACAAAGACCAACCATCGTTAAAACCTGTGAAGACTGATGGTGGGCATGATATGCCTTTCAATCCTTCTGCTCAAACAACAGCCAGAGTGTGTAGAACTGTTGTGTGTCAAGAATGCAACAAGCCGAGGTTGCTGCATGCCGCCAAAAAACTAAAAGAGAAGGAACTCTTTGAACTTGACAAGTGCATTGAAGACATTGATTTCTCTTGTGGATCATGTTTGAAAGATTTCAAAGAAACACAAGATGGTGTTCTTTCACGAGTGTTTGTGAGGAAAGATCTTCAGTGCTCACTTCCAGTTGAGATTCCCTACTACAGTTCTGTACTGTATCCCCAAATATGCTGCCACTGTGCCTGCAGTGATATTATTGTGGGGGAGGCAGCAGTGGATGTGTATCCCATTTGTGTTGAATGTATCAAGATTCATCCCAAGATAATGAAACGGAAAAGGAAGATGTTTGAGCCAAAAGTCAAATCAAAGTAAAGTTGGTATTTATGGTTGTGAACTCAATGAAAGTTTGAACTTACCTTTGAGGATAGTGAATTTCATTACAAAGTATTTGATATTGTTTAACATTCATTTTGCCGCTGTTCATTTATGTTATGACCAAAGAATTTGGTTTAAAACGTTTGGTTATTGCTCTTGTCACATTGGATACAAATGAATGTGATGTTGGGTTTTTAAAATTATTGTTCTAGTCACAGGATATTGTTAACGTTTGATCATAATAACTGTTCTAGTCATACTCTGAAAAGGTTTATGAAGGAGGCAAGTTATATAAATACTCATGTAAACCCTTTTTTCAGTAAACTTTATTTTGAATGAATTTCTGTTGTTTTTTATTACTTTCTGTGAAGAACTAGTAGCATGATTATTAAAAAAAAACCACTGTAAATAAAAAAAAAGTCACGTCATCGCATCATTTTAGTCTGTATGCAGATACCAGAAACATTTTTATATATTTTTTTGGCCTTATGTGTTGATTAGGAAAATTATAGTCTTTAATACCACAAACTAAAGCTATAATTATCATTTAATCTTATTATAACACATATCATTGCAACGACTCAAAGACAAATCACAAAGACTCTGTCAGAAATCATAAAGTTTCTGTCGCAAAAATGACAAAGACTCCACCCTCACTGTAACCAAGTTCTCTACCAGTGAACATACACACTGGTAGGGAATTTAGGGGAAAACCTTTATTGTCTTTGCCGCGATTCCCAATGCATTTGTTGAGTATACATTCATATTTGAATATTGAATAGTATTTGTTTTTTATGCCTTTTATTATTTTTTCGCACGCCCGCCCGCCCCATTGTTGGAACAGTCAGGCGATGAGAAACACAGAATTAAATACAGACGCCCTCATCTGTTTTGGTTGTCCAAACACCACAAATTCCATTACATTTCTCAACAGACATCTACCTCACTCTCAGCTACCTGAATCAATCTTATCTCTATAACCCTGCCTCAAGCACAGTGCTTCTGTGCATGGGTGTTGCAAAAGACATTACTCCTGTATGATAACCAACATCCTCGATGCAAATAAGTGGATGGTGGATGGGACAGATCCTGATGTAGTAGAGATAACATTCTTAGAATTATCCCCATTACTAAATATTGTCTGATAATTCCTTTGAACACCCTACCTGAATTACATCACAGCCAGAACACACCACAGTGACTGACAGCATCTAGTAATCTGAGACAGCTGTCAGCAGTCAACAGGAAATATAGAAACAGGAAACTGGTAAGTGAGATGCACAGTGCATGCTAATTCCTCTGAGAATCATATTTATTGTTAGCATTTCATTGCAACACAATCTTTTCAGATCTAGGTCATATGACATCACTTATGGCTTTGCTGTCATCACTTTCGTTTCCTCTGGTGCTGTTTTCTGGTTCTAAATGATGTCATTCAGCACCTTCTATGGATAGATTAATGAGGTGATGTTGTGTTGCCAGAATCAGCCAGCAGTAGGTTTTGGGAACCATCATGCCAGTACCCTGATTTCATGCATGTTGGAATCTGAAGGAGGTCATTCTGGCTGGCCTAGATCAAGAGACATTGTTGCTGAAAAAGACTTTAGCTATGGGTGTAGTAATGTTACAGTGAGTGTGAAGCTACTTACCTCATGAGTCCAATGCTGCGTAGCTGCTCCAGCTGAATCTCCTGAGTGACAGGGCGGGATACAAGGAGGGGCAGCTCTTCTTCAAGTCTTGGGGTCATCTTATTGTTGTATGCATATTCTATGACATCATAGAAGATGGTGTGGCGAGGTAACACTGTTAAAACAATCACAACTGAAAAAAAAAAAAGTTGTGGCCAGGACAATACCCGGTATACTTATTTTTGTATTACATTGCTTGTATTTCACCTAATTACAATTCAGGAGCTGTGACATTAACAGGTTTTTAGTAATTCATTCAAATGCAATAGATTCATATGCCTGTGTTCAAATGGCACAGGATTCTGCCTGCCTTGATCTGCCTAAACCCTAGGGCTTCGCAATATAACCGGTTTACCGGTATTTACCGGTTCAGACATGAAAATGATACGTACTGCGATGCGCTGATCGAAAACCGGTATTTTGACATGCATTCGGAAAACTTCGTAACACTCGGAAATCTTCGGATATTTCCGTTTTTCACACCGGAAGTCATGTGTTTGTTGTAAACTGGTGACCCCAAACAACGGACAATTTATTGTGATGCCAAATACTAGGGCAAAGGCTTCTGTATGGCAGCATTTTTGGTTGAACCACTGTGTTGATGTTAAATTAACTCGATTGTAAGTAGATTTTTGTTAAAAAAAAAGCTCTTGCAATATATTGCAACACATATCACAATATATAATTCGCATTGCAATATATCACAATATGAAAATTCTCTGCAATACTCACCCTTACTAAACCCTGTACCCACCTTTCAAAATGCTGTGTAGATTTACATAGACAATCATAGGGCCTTTGCATTTTGTATTTACAATAAATTGTATATAATACTAATCCTATCTCACATAATGCACATAATGCTCAAGCACACCCTTTACCCAGCTTTTGTTATGGGCAGTCACTAGAAGTCCATACAAAGCATGTATCTTGCTCTTAACTGACCACATCACTCCCTACTGAAGTCAGTTTGGAGATGGAATCAACCTTGTCAGGTGAGATAGGATAAATATTGTAAAATTTACAAATATTTAAACTTCTCCTATCTTATTGTAAGCCAAATAAGGTGTAATATGATCCAAGCCAAGGTTAATGCAATTTATTTAAGGCAAGTCTCTGCGACTAACTCTTTTTTCTCCACTGATGGGCAGTAGACAGTCCTTCAGCCAGGACTAAGGGCCCAAATTTGTGCAGGCCCTGGACATTAATAAGTCCAGCAGCTTGTGTGATGTGAAAGTCCATGTCAGACTTCAAGAAGCAGCCCTCATATTAGACACCAATGAACAGTTGCTGTGAAGAGTCATGGTGGATGCCCTTGTCACATGGACAGTGGAATGAATAGTCAATTCTGAAGTCTTCAATGATCTTGTCAGGCTTTGAAGTAGATATTGAGGGCCCTGACTGGGCAGAGCGGTAGATTTTGAACAGCATCTCTGTCAATGAAGTCCCAACAGAAACTCATGAAAAACACCATGTTAAAATCCAGAGCATGGCTCTCGGATATGTGTGCTGCCACATCAAGCACTAGAAGAAAGACTGTCTTGTTTCTCATTCATAATCAGCCAACTCAATCCAGGCACTGTAGAAATCTTGAAAAGTTGTGGTTGTAGCCACAATGAAGTTGATGGAGAGTGCCAAGGCATAATGATCCCTTGATAATGAGTGTGGGATTGGAGAGGCAAACATCGGTTGATGGGTGTTAAACCGATTACCAAAGAGATCCACCTCAGGTTCAGTGGTCCTCATGTGGATCAGATGTTAGTGAGCCTTTGGAAGGCCAGAACTCTCCACTAACCTGGGACTTGTCAAAAGTGACTGTCCTGGTGATGCTGTCTGCTGGAAGGTCCCTTTTTGGCGTTTGTCCCTGCCTCTACTGGATCCATGGCGACAAAAGGCACCCTTCAAATCGGTGTTAAATGGAATGTATTGCACCAACCTCCTTTGCCACAAGGAGTCATGTACTTGGATCTATTGCATGTGCAGTAATTCTATAGATACTTGGAATTAGGGGTGACTATTGAAGGGGAAACAACTATTGCGACATACTATTGCGATAACAATAGTCTATTGTGATCAACTATTGCAATACTACTGCAATAGGGTTTTATCTCCTTGAATTGTCTTATTTGAAGTCATTTCCCAAATGAATGTATAGTTTATATGAAAGAAAAACAAGCTGAAGTAGTTTCAGTCTCTTTTAATAACTGACAAGAAACTTGAAACCCAGATCAAATAAACAGTACAATAAAAAAATACGAAACAACAATAAAAATATTTAATATAAATAAATAACCATCCAAATACCCATTTGGAATGAGCATGAAAACTGAAAAGTATCTAAGAATTGCACTGGTACTTTCTGTATTTTGCGCTGCACATTTATCAATGGAAGTCAGTTTCTAAACTATTGCTAGTCACACATACTATCGAGGCATCAATAGTTTTTCGCTTCTACCATCAATTAATTGCTGTCGGAGACTCAACAATTGCAATCCATCGATAGTTTGATGCATTGTTACAGCTCTACTTGGAATAGGTTATCACCTTGAAAGATATCTTTCTATAGGGACTTGACAGACCACATTTGACTAAAGAGTTCAAACAACATGGGTAACAAAGTCTGAAAGATCTGGTCCATCACCACTTGGAACTGTTCATGAATGAGAATAATAGCTCCCATAGTTATTTGTTATAATTCTTATGGTAGTAGCGATGGCTTTGGACTGACAGTCCACAGGAAGGGTGATCAACTCGAAGTCTTTGCCCTTCATGACAGGCGAGGTGGATTAATCAGCCAAAGAAGTACTCCTCTGCTTTCCATTCCTGTGACGAGAAGGTGTGGGAGCTGAGGATTGATCATCTCAGTATCCTCTGAAAGTTGTAAGGCCTCTTGAGGATCCTGGATGGAACCAGGAGGGTCCAAATATCCTCTCACAACAACCATTCTAGATGATAACGTTACTGCTGATCTATTCATGAGGAGGCAAGGAAGTCAGACTGATCTTCAAGAAACAGAGCATCATCTGGCAATGTTGGGTTTGGCAAGTGTGCCGAGGAACGACAAGCCTTCTTGATAGATAATAAGATTGCCAAGACTTCTTTGAAGATGATGGGCTGAACACTTCAGATTGACTCTTATATGCCCGATCTTTCCCTCCATGTGATCAGGCATGCCTATAGACCACAAAGTGGTCGTCATTCAAAGAACTACAGTGGATACAGTGAGTGAGTTTAGTTTAACGCTGAACTCAGCATTATTCCAGCTATATGATGGTGGTCTGTAAATAATCGAGTCTGGACCAGACCATCAATCTGCGCAATTGGGAACCGATGACACGTGTCAACCAAGCCAGCGAGCCTGACCACCCGATCCCTGTAGTCGCCTCTTACGACAAGCATGGGTTATACAGTGGATACAGCGACCCACCCAATTACACAGGCCCAGACAGTCACTACAGGCTGCATGCAGATCATGTGCAGAAAACATGTATTTACAATTTGAGCACAACAAGGGGAAATGCACTATGTGAGTTGTTTAAGTATTATAAATATACAGTATAAAATATATTATATATCATGTTAGGCACTTTCCCTTCTTCTTCTGACATGTGGGAACAACTCGTAGGTTTTCAGCCTCTTGTAATGCCTCACCTGAACACACCCCTGCTCCATGTATTGCTGTAGGCAGTCACTGGAAGCTCATGCAACATGCCAAGGTGTTATCATGTTAACACCAGCTGGGGTCATTTTCTTGTCTTGGAGCCAGAACTACCTGTAACCTGTGTAGCAAGATTGGTCAGGTAGGAATCCATCATGTGAGATAGGGCAAGTACTGTATTATAAAAGATTATCTCATGTAGTTCACTTATCCCATGGTTGGATGGTGGGCCATAGATTACCCCCGTCTTTAGAAAGATAACAACCATAACATGATAAGTATATCAAGGAGGCTGACTTTCTCATCCTCTGAGCATCAGTTGTAGGGCATTTGTAATTTGTTGTTTCATAAAGCCCCTGAGCAATACTCAACACAAACTCCCAGGGACTGGGGCAAATGACGAAGCTAAGAGTCAGGAGAACTTCATCTTAGCCCCAATTTCCAACACGATGGCAAGTTCTTTGAAAATGTCCCCTACATCCATGTCATTAAGGTGCAAACGCAGAAGAGCTCAGTAAACTCTCCATTTAACATTTTGTTCCAAGCCAAAGCAGATAGTGATTGGTGTCACGGAGAAGCTTGTCTGAAGAGCAATGGTCAAGGCTACTGCATAGGTTTCATGCAGGTAGAGGAGGCAACCAGAGGACGTAGACCAGCAAAGGCATACACTTGAAGGATGGTCGATCTCATCCAAATAGCTATGGTGGTTCGTGATATTTCCAATGTGGAGGCTGTATAAAGTGGGATGATAAGGCACTTAAGCACTCTGCAATGGTCTTGCAAGGCAGCAATGTAGATCTAGTAGGGCAAGCAACAGATCTTATGTATCATCAGGCCCCATAATTGTTGACAATGGTAAAGAGTCTATCCGGCTGTCCCAACTGGTTCTTTACCATAAAATGCCATCAGAGATCACGGAAGGCCTTGCTATGCTTCTTCCGCTTAAAATGTACTCAGTTCACATCCAGCATGTGGAGCATGTGAAGCATGTGAAGAATGACTCAGTGAGTGAGTGAATTTAATTTACGTCACGTCGGCAGTATTTCAGTATTTATACCTGATCAAGATGAAATGCCTGGGTGGCCAGTGAAGTCAATCAGAGTGAGGGTGGATCAACACGATCAATAAACCAACTTCGGCTGGGCAGAAGGATGTGACGAAAAAGCAGAAGAATTTTCTTGGTGGAGCAGAGTTTGTGTAAAACCTGCAGAAGGAACCTGTAAGCATTCGTGCCAGATCCAGGAGGAGATGCGATCATGTTGAACCTGTAGAGGTATGTTAATTGAAGATAATCAGAGCCTAGCCCTCCAAATTGTTGATGTGCAGGGATCAATCAGCGAACAACCACAGCCCTGCTTATCAGTGATTGTGATCCTTTTGAACCCATATGGTTGAGTACCCTACCACTGTTGAATTGTCTGATTAAATCACGACCACAGCCCTACCATTTGTTGATTGAGAGGATGCGTTGGTATGGACGATGTCAAAAAGACTCAATCACAGACATTTGACTCCATCAGCCACCAGTGAAGGTACTGATGGAGGGACTATTGATAAGGATTAGAGACTAGGAAAACTTCAATCAGACATAGCAAAATCTTCGCCCATCTGTTGGGTGGGTCAAACATCTTCCCCAGACATGACAATAATGTAATTTTTTTATTAAAATTGATATTTTATACTTATCCTGACTCATGCTTAATTGCTTGTCTCTTTCTTCTTGTGAATGATAGTGGAACACTTGAATCCCCTTTTGAAGCTCCCTTCAAAAAAGCGGACGTAAAATCACTCACCCAGTGTTATCTCCCTTTAGATCTTTTGCCGGGAAAATGTGTCACATGACTGAACATGACCCTCACTCTCTTCTGAATATGCGCTCAACACCTGGATTACAGGGAATCCAGAGTGCCATGAGGGGAGGTTGGGAGGTCTTACCTCATGAGTCAGGATAAGTATAAAATATCAATTTTAATAACAAAATTACATATTTTTCCTTATCCTGACTCATGCTTAATTGCTTGTAGAATCCAACGGAAACGGTGGTGGGTCAAGCCACTCTGGATTCCATGCTGATTTACGTCCTGCATACCTCCCTGAGGGAACCTCTTACAGTACTATGCTGATCTTTCCTTCCAGCTTCCTCTGATGAGTTTGGGGGTCCACAACTTATCAGATTTTCCAGAACCGCTTCTCCTGACATTGAGTGTGGATTTATACGACTCCATGTCTTGATTTCCGCATCAAATGGAGAAGTGACCCTTCATCATATACGAGTAAGTCCTTACAAGTATAGGGTCTGTCATTCATGCTAGCCTATCTTAGACGTGCGCATGGACTCTAAGCTTCAACTCTTCCGAGTGTCGGCTTTTACAAGTCATGTGATAAAGGGTGAGATTCATCTCAGCATCATTGAGGAACCGTCAATTGTTGTGCTACAACAAGAGGTCCAAACTGGTGGATACCGGAGACATCCTCGGTAGCAATGTCTCTGAGGTAGTGGTTGGCAAACACCGTCTCCGACTTCCAATAGCAGCCCTCCATTATTGTCGAGCAGTTTCCATGTAGAGTAAGTGTCGACGCCAGTGCTCTGACTTCATGAGGATTGGAGGCTCGTGGTGGCTCAAGTCCTGCTGCTTTATAGGCTCTCAATGTGACAGCTCTCATCCATATTGATATTGTTGTACATGAGATTTCTGTAGGTGTCTCCGAAGATAAAGGGATGAAAAGGCGCTTGAATTTTTGTCTCCTCATCTTAGACCTTTGTAGGTAAATTTGTAATGCTCTGACTGGACATAAGGATAGATCCTGGGTATCCTGTGGTCCAAGGACTGAAGTAAGTGCTGGGATGTGGAATTGCCTGTCTGGCTGACCGGGCAATTGGTTCTTTGTTTATGAAATCCCATCTCAATCCCAGATGTATGATATTGCGATGTGCATCAAATCGTATTCGTTCAAAGTCCAGAGCATGTATTTCTGACATCCGAGCTGCTGTTGCCAAGGCGACCAGGAACAGAGTTTCATGTGTTAGAAACTCATAGGATGTCCTTTCTAGTGGTTCGTAAGCGTAACTCGTGAGATGCTGTAAGACTACGTTGAGATCCCAAGCAGGCGCTTTGAATTTCTTTTGTTGGTCTTCCAACTTAAAGGAGCGTAGTAGAGCTAGTATCTCTGGTACTTTAGTCAGTTTCACACCCGTCTTCATGGTGATAACTGTGCTGAGGGCCGTTAGGTATGTAGAGAGTGTTGAACCTTTTAACCGCCTTGTTTGTCTTAGATGACAAAGGTATTCCACCACTTAAGGATGTGTTGCTTCCATTGCCGTAAAGCCCTACCTTAAAGCGTATTTCTCAAAACTCTACCACTTGTCGTCATACAAGCTGCGGGTTGATCTACGTAGAGCTAATGTGACTGCTTTAGCTGCTCTGGCGGAGTATCCTCTTTTCTTCAAGCAAGGTTTGATACATTCCATGCGTGTAGTTGTAATACTGTTGGATTTCCGTGTACTTGCTTGGTGTGCGGATGAATTAGTATGTTCGGCCACTCTGGAAGTTGGAGGGTTGGACTTCCAAGTTCTTGTTCGAGGATGGGAAAGCACACCCTCGCTGGCCAGTAGGGCGTGACCAAAATCAGTTGCAGGTTCTTCGTCTGCTTGATTTTCTGTAATACCTGCGGTATTAGAGCTGGAGGTGGAAACGTGTAAGTGTTTACTCCTTCCCAGGAGATGCTTAGAGCATCTGTTGCCCATGCTTGTGGATCCGGAATCGGAGAGACAAATGTTGGTATTTGTTTGTTGAACCTTGTAGCAATCAGGTCTATCAGGAGATCCTATCCTCTGTATGATGCATCTGAATGCTTCTGGGTATAACATCCATTCCGTCAGGGATGGTTGTGTTGGACGAGATAGGGCGTCTGCTATCACATTCTTGGCTCCGGGAATGTGACATGCTTTCACATCGATGTTCAAATTGTCTATTATACTGAATAGATGGAAGCTGAGATCTAGAAGATTCCTTGACCTTGTTGATCCTTGTTTGTTGACGTAGAATGCCACTGTGGAGTTGTCCGTATGGATCATCAGTTGTGCGTTCCTTAGTATGCTGGACCAGTGTAGTAAGGCGTTTATTACTGCTTTCATCTCGAGCATGTTGATGTGCAGACTTTGCTCCTGATTCGACCATTTCCCTGCTGCCACTTCGTTGTCGAGGTGGGCTCCCCATCCTTGAAGTGATGCATCTACGTAGAAATGAGTGTTGTAGTCCGGCTCTGATAAGTAGGTTCCTCCGCAAACATTCGACTTCCGAGTCCACTATAAGAGATATGGTTTTAGTCCATCTGGTAGTCCGAAGGAGTCCGGACTGTCTAGGTGAGCGTTCACAAACACTTGTAGTGGGCGCAGTTGTAGCCTTCCTCTGCGTGTCATGTCTTATGCTGACATGAGGAGACCAAGTAGGCTCTGCCAACTTCGTACGGGACGACTATGCCTTTTTGCGATGTGATGAACCGTATTCCTAGGAATTGCAGATCCTGTGTGGGTTCTAGTTCTGACTTGAGGAGATTTACTTAGCCATCCTAGTTGTGTGAGTAGCCTGATTGTGAAGTCTAGTTGCAGTCTGAGTTGACTGGGATCTTGATGAGCTTGAATCCTGTTGTCCAGGTAAAACGCACTGTGTAGACCCCGATGATGTAGATATGTGATGATTGGCTTTGTCACTCGAGTAAACAACCAGGGGGCCGACGATATTCCAAATGGTAGAACCTTCCATTGGAAGCGACGTCCGTTAAAGAGGAATCGTAGGTATTTCCTTGAGTCCGGATGTATCGGGATGTGAAGATACGCATCCTGTAGATCTATGCTGGCGAGGTAGTCTAACGGACGTACGAGTTGTCGCAGTTGAAGCAGATGTATCATTCTGAACTTTGCGGGGCTGCGTAGATAATCTTGGTTGAATTTCCTCATGTTGTATATAAGTCGGAACTTTTCCCTGGAATCTTTCTTTGGTACTAAGAAGTTGGGGAGTAAAAACTGGGCGTGACGAGCTCCTGTTTTATTTCTTCGATCGCCTCCTTCTCGAGTAGAGTTGTGATAGCGTCGAGTAGGTTCTCCCTCTGGTTGGCAGCATAGTTGTGGGCCAGAGAGTTGCTTGTCAACGGTGGTACTGCATGTAGTTGTATCTTGTATCCTCTGTGTAGGATCTGGGATACGTAGTCGTCCTGAAGAATTCCCCAATTCTTCCAGTAGCGTTGTAGATGTCCACCCACTGTTGAAGGTTGTATGGGAACAGCTGGGGGTGGAAGACTCCAGTCGTTCCGAACACGTCCTTCAGCGTCTAGAGTTCCTGGCACCTCTGGATGCCCTGCCTCTTCCGGGGTTACCTCTGGGAGCTCAGGTTGGGCGACGAAAATAATCCTTGCCTCCTCTGGGGCTGCCGTATTTCTTTTCGCTGGCTCGTTGCATTCCTGTAAACTTCGACTTGCCGGAGTAGCGTTGCGATGTCTGACGGATAACACTGGCTAGTGTATCGATGGACTTGATCATCATTTCCTCCTTTGACTCTTTCGTTACTTCCTTGGCTACGTCCTCAATTTCCCATGCGAAGATAGATGATGCTTACCACGGAGCTCTGTATAGTGACTTGGTGAAGCGTTCACTCCATTTACAGGAAGATAGCAATCCTTGTTTTCTCAATAGTGTCAGGCCCGCTGATGTAGATGCCAGATGTTCGGACATGAACTGATGATCATTCTTCTGGGTTAGTAGTGCCGAGTAGATCATTCTATCTTCTTCCGAGGTCGAGTTCCTAAACTTCGCGATGAGAGTTTCGTTGATGGCTCTTGACCTGGCTAGGCCAAAGAAGGTACGTCTGGTAGTTGTATCTAGTTGTGCCAACTTCTTATCTTCCACTTGTAAGTCCTGGCTCGGGAGTCGCTGATGATCTTGTAGTTCTCATCTATCTCTGGGGCCTTCGTGAAGGGTTCCATGTGGTGAAGAGAGAACTTCTTGGCGTTGAATGGTGGGATGCTCTGACTCTGGAACTTCGTTGCCTTCCTGAAGGCTGTGCTGAGGTTCCCTGGTACATCTGAGACAGGATCGATGGGTGGAAGAGTAAGTGTATCGAAGTCCTCGTTAGACATCCTGTACGTAAATGCTTCATTATCCTCTTTAGAAGGTGATGCAAGTCCAATCCATTTGTCATCCAAGATTTGATCTCTGTATCGGAAAATATGATTCCCCCATCATCTTCGGATTTAGAGGCTTCTTGTTCTGGAGATGGTTGCCAGTCTGTCTCTTTCCTGCGTGGAGACCTTCGTGGAGACCCCCGTGGAGACCTGCGCGGAGACCTTCGCTAAGGCGATAAATTCGGAAAAAGATCCTCCCTGGAGTCTTGAGATGTATCTCTGTGCCTTCGTGAAGGTGTAGATTCTCTTCTATGGTGCCTTCGTGAAGGCTCCTGATGGCTGTCCATATCGGAGGAGGATGATCTGCGATGCTCCAGTGAATGTCTGGTTCTGCTCCTTCGTGAAGGCTCCTCTGGTGAAGATGTCGTGGTACATCGTAGAGTGTGTGATCCTTCACGTAGGTTCCCTCCTTCAGGCAGGCTGCTATCTTTGGTGGGATGTGATCTGCAGGCTGCTTGTCCTTCACGCAGGTTCAATGTAGATGGGGCCTCCGTCGCTGCTTTCTCCTGCGCGAACCTCCGTTCCATCAGGTCCAACGTCTGCTGTGTAAACTGCTGCATTAAGACCCCGGGGTTGAAGCTCTGCGACAACGACTGCTGCTGCTGCACTGTGGACGACGCATCTGAGAGTACCGAGGCTTCTCCCAAGGACTGCTGCACTTGTGATGATCTGCCATCTCTATCTGATGTCTGCATTGATAAACATCTGACTGCGTTGAGATGACTGCTGATGTTACTGTAGATAAAGACCTCGCCTTCTTCCTCACTGGCACTTCAGGGATGAGGATGGGTGGCTCATCATATACATCTACTTCATCTACCGGGATGATCTCTGTAGCGAAAGACCTCGTCTTAAGCGCTGCCCCATGTGAAGACTTCGCCGGAGTCTTGTTAGTAGACGACTTCTTCTTCTGAGAAGACGATGCCCTAGTCTTCTTCGACTGCGATGAGGTTATAGTTGATGTAGACGACCTCTTCTTGGAGCCGGAGCTGACATCAGTTACAGCGACATGCTCCGCAGACGCAGCCGGTAAACCACTGGAATGGTGAATGTCAGCAGACAACAACAAACGGTTATCAACGCAATCATTTGGTTTAGACATGACTTGTGAAAGTCGTCTAGACCTGTCCTTGGCATGCCTAAGAATGGAATATAAATAATTATTAAATTCAAATTCAGATAAATGCTGACAAAGTTGACAGTGAAAGCTGGAACAACATGGAGAAGTACAATTAGGACATATTATATGCGCGGGTCAGCAACCGACAACAGGTATCTGCAACGACTGCAAGTTTTCATCAAACGTAAACACGATGAAAAAACATGTCAACAATGTGAATAAATACAGATAATTTGGACAAAATTTCAAACCATATTGTTGGTATATCAATCCTAAAAGCCGTATACAGCTAATTTAGTAGCAAGGCCTCAAAATTACAGGATATAAGGCCATATAGGGGACCCAGGTGCTCACAACCGTCCTCACAATTGACACATTTTCCGCGCAAAAGATCTAAAGGGAGATAACACTGGGTGAGTGATTTTACGTCCGCTTTTTTGAAGGGAGCTTCAAAAGGGGATTCAAGTGTTCCACTATCATTCGCAAGAAGAAAGAGACAAGCAATTAAGCATGAGTCAGGATAAGGAAAAATAATTGAAGTTGTTGGGTCCGAACCAACTCTGACATCTTGATGTTGATATATGCATGCATCCATCCATCCATCCATCCATCCATCCATCCATCTATACATACATACATACTTACATACATACATACCATCCAATGTGAGCTTCCGCCAGTAATTTTCTTTTCCTCCCATGTAAGCAGGTGTCTCGTCCACGTTGGCCAAGTACTGTAACACCAACATAAACAACAGTGGTATCCTACAGGCACCACAACATGGCTCTAGGTGTCTATGTTTCTATGGTTATAACTACTATGTGTAGTTTCATTCAAATTAGAAAAAAAACTGACAGCTAAATCAACTGGTGACAGAGAATTGACATTTACCAACCTGCATATAATCCTTGAGTGTTGTAACATCCACCTCATCTGAAATATTATACTGTTGTTGGAAAATTGAATCTTGTAGCATCTGTTCATAAAACAGTCGGTTACCCATCAGTCGAAGTGAATCCTCTGCTGCCTGCAAATATACAGTCAACAGTAAACGTTACTTGTCCATACACAACCAACTGTTAAACTGTCATCTACAACCTAACATATGAGAATCACTTGAGAGTGACAAATTTCATGTTTTGATCACATCAGTGCTTATCAACATGGTCTTGTATTTGTTTCAGAATCTATCAGATTTTTGGCACAAGTAACTTCATCTAAATCAAGTTTGACAGATGTTCAACAGCAGTTCTGAATTTAGTCCATAATTTAGGTCCACATACCACGTTTAATGCTTTTTTAAAGTCCACAAAAATTGTGTATATAGCACCACCTCCTTTTTTCATAGTTGACAATGGACTAATCATTGGCCATGGGAAAAGTTGCTTGTGATAAGGTGCTGTTTAAGCTAACCTGTTGTGTAACTGTGTAAAACTTCCAGAATGATCTGCCTTTGACTTTCCAACAACCCCTATCTCTGTATGTATAAACTGACTGAAATCACATATTGCATCAGCAGCATGCTGCTGCTGGGGGGTTGGATAGCCTGGTAGTTAAAGCGTTGGCTCGTCATGTCACACGGGTTCGATTCCCCACATGGTACAATATGTGAAGCCCATTTCTGGTGTCCCCGCCGTGATGTTGCTGGAATATTGCTAAAAGTGGCGTAAAAACATACTCACTCACTATTGCATGCTGCTAGCAGCATCTTGGGCATAGCATTTCATTGGAAACATCCTTGCTATCAGAAATTGCAGTCTCAGTAAAAAACTAGTCTTTCTTAAAACTGCATTTTACTTGATCTCTTAGCCTCGGATAGGACCTTTAGCTTCATATTTAGTCACACTTGTAATGTTTTATCCGATCTGAAAATTCTTGATGTCAATTTCAAGATTTATGAAATGGGAACATGTCAAATTAATCATAATATCAGATTTTGGATGTTTTCACTGAAGTTTAGTTTTATGGCAAAACATAATACAACTTGCGACATAACACGGGATTTCAGCGGAATCGGTCAAGCCCTACTTTTTTGAGAATATTCGAAAATATAAAGTTAAGGGATGATGATGACAGTGGAGTGCCTACTGCCATTTATGTCTTTGCTTTGCCTTTATTATGACAAACCTGCCTATGCAAGATATACATGAGAACATTATTTCCATTTGAGTATGCAAGGTTAATATAGCCAGGTAAACCTTCAACACTTCAGCAAAAGCACTGAATTTCTGACTTGAAAGACAATAGGTGCTGACTCTTCTACATTGGTATACATATCTGGTACTGTGCACCTACCTCTGATGCTGGTTTAATCATCTTCTTGCCACTAATGTACTTAATGCCCTTCCCATCTGTGTTGTAGAAAATCTTGAAGAAAATCATTGGAGGAAATTCACTTCCTCCAAACCTGAAAAAGTATGCATACATATTGTTTGTTTGGTTTGTTTGTTGTTTAACGCTGCACCTAGCAATATTTCAGGTATATGGCAGTGACAATCCAGTGATCAACAGCATGTGCATCGATCCATGCAATTGGGTTAGGATGAGTGAGTGAGTGAGTGAGTGGGTTGGGTTTTACGCCACTTTTAGCAATATTCCAGCAATATCACGGCGGAGGACACCAGAAATGGGCTTCACACATTGTACCCATGTGGGGAATCGAACCCGGGTCTTCAGCGTGACGAGCGAACGCTTTAGCCACTAGGCTACCCCACCGGCCCTGAGTTAGGATGAGATGTGTCAACCAAGTCAGTGAGCTGACCACACGATCTTACGACAAGCATGAGTTGCTGAAGACCAATTCTAACCCGGATCTTCACTGGTTATGCATATTGATAGTACACATGGTGTCAACGTGTGAAGCCCATTTCTGGTGTCCCCCAATGTGATGTTGCTGGAATATTGCTAAAAGCAGCGTAAAACCAAAACTCAGTCAATCAGTCAGTACACATGGTGTCTGTAATTTTGCTGAGTATTTTGAAAAGTTCTTGAATCCTGATATTGTTCCAAAGTTAACTGAGGTGGTTGAGGTGATTAGGCAATCTGACAATGGTATGGTCCAGCACTGGGTTGACGAGTTAGACCGTGACATTACTGCGGTTGAAGTACATGTGGCATTGAGTAAATTGAAGTGTAATAAAGCAGCAGGTTATGATGGCATTATTAATGAGTTCCTTAAGGCCGGAGAAGATACTTTATCTCCAGTAATTACCTGTTATTTAATGCTATTTTGAAATCTGGAAAATACCCCTCTGAATGGAGAAAGGGCGTTATTGTCCCCATTCATAAAAAAGGAAGTAAATTAGTTGCAGATAATTATCGAGGGATTACACTTCTTTCTTGTGTCAGCAAGTTGTTTACGAGTGTTTTAAATAACAGAGTTAAACAGTCGTGTGATAACTACTCCCACTTGGTAGAAGAACAGTTTGGTTTTAGAAAGAGTTATAGCACGGCTGATTGTATGTTTATTCTTCACAGATTGATTTAGCCTTGAATAAAGGGGTGAAATTATATTGTGCTTTCGTAGATTTTCGAAAGGCATTTGACTATGTTGATAGGCAAGCTCTTTGGTTTAAACTCTATTCTTTGGCCCACATGGGTACAATGTGTGAAGCCCATTTCTGGTGTCCCCCGCCGTGATGTTGCTGGAATATTGCTGAAAGCGGCGTAAAACCAAACTCAGTCAGTCAGTCAGTCTATTCTTTTGGGTATTAGTTCTAAATTTCTATCATTAATCAAAAATATATACATGGATGTGTCCTCTTGTGTTAAACTTCCTGGAAATAGGTATTCACAGTTCTTTTCATCAAGTATAGGTGTCAGGCAAGGGGAGAATTTATCGCCTATATTATTTTCATTGTTTATAAATGATATTGTGTCTGATCTCTCTGGTTGTGAAGTTTGGGGATTTATGGAAGCGCCAGCTATCGAAAGGGTCCATTTAAAGTTTATTAAGCAGGTTCTGCGTGTTAAAAGTTCAACACCATCAGCTTTTGTCTATGGTGAAATGGGCGTACTGCCATTGATTACTATTAGATTGTTACGCATTGTGAAATATTGGATTAAGATTATCACCTATGACGAAAGACGATATATAAGCATTATATATAGGGCTCTAGTCGACAACGCTTGGCAGAATCCAGCATATACGACATGGGTTACTCTCATTAGAGACTTGTTGTTTCAGTATGGATATGGTTTTATTTGGTTACAACAGAAATTGACTGAAATTGTAGAGGATTTATAAGTGCTTTTAGACAAAGGGTTATTGATATACATTCACAAATGTGGAAAAATAATCTAAGTTCACTTAGTGAAACAAGAATATATTTGCTTATCAAATCATCACTTACTATGGAAAAGTATTTATCTCAAATTGATATTATAAACTATAGGGTAGCCTTGACAAGACTACGATTATCTTCTCATTCACTTATGATTGAGAAAGGAAGATGGGCTCGACCAAAATTAGCTTAAGAAAACCGATTATGTCCTTTTTGCAAAATTGACATAGAGGATGAATATCATGTTATCATGGTTTGTCCTAAGTATTTGACATTTAGACGTCGCTACCTACCTCTGGAGGTATACAAGTCTCCAAACATGATGAAGTTTATAAATCTTTTACAAACCAAAGTTGAAGTATTAACCTTCAACTTAGCTAAAATTGTTTATCATATATTTCAGGTAAAGCAAAACGATAATTTCAATTATCCATGAATGTTTATCTTCCTTCTAGTGCTGTCTTTTGTCACAAAAGGTCTTTGTAAGGGGGTTTGGTGGGGGGAGGCGGATGTTGGCAATGCGCTTTTGAAAGTTTGTTAAATGTAGTTTTCATGTTGTCCGTTGGCCTATTAACTCATTAAGGCCGAGAGACGCATATATGGGGCAAATTAATCAGCTCCTCACAGCGAGTGACGTGTTTATGGGGCAGGTAATTAGCAGTTTCTCACAGCGAGAGCCCCATACAGTCGTCAACAGAAAGCACCTCTTATTCAGCGAGAGACGCACATGTGTGTTGTACTTTTAAAAATCGCACTGTACATATTATTCAACCAATTTAGCAGTACTGAGCAAATGTTAGCTTTTCTTACGAGAGATCCCACCTTTAGTATCAATCAGAAGAAGTATTTAAAGTGTTTTGATAACAATTACTAATCATTATCATAGGCTTGTACAGCGTTTAGCAAATGAACGCATGTCGGCGAGAAAGGGGATTATGATGTTTTTACAGAGGTAGGTGCCTGGTACTCTTCCTTGGGAATGGATACTAAAATACTTCGTATGCACCTTGATTGAATTAGATGTAATGGTTTAGAGGTTACTAAAAATTATATTTCCTTCAACTACCTAATAAATAGGAAACAATATATGAAATTTCAAGGACATACAAAGAATTCAGACACAATAGAATAGTTTGAATTTACTTTTTAGGCATCATTACGTTGTCATGTTTCATATACTGAAACATAATGTATAAACACAAGTAATTATACATCCAAGCTCGAATAGATTAAACATAATTGAACTTACTAATTTGAAGTTTACTGAATTGTAACTAGTTGTTTTCCATAATCTAAAGTTCGTAATGTTACCTAAGATATGATTAATATAAAGTGATAAGTCAGCCTTTGCATCGAATACATATATACATGTCAGTGTTATTACAACAATGAAATCTTTTACTACGTTTGTTACAAAAAGACAGTAAGTTGGTAATTCAAAACATTGTCACACATGGACAGAAGTAATATCATAAGTTATTACATGTAAGCCATACAAAGGTATTTCAAGCATTTTTGTTCAAGCTGTTGAAAGTTTCATGTTGATTTGAATTGTCAGTTTTCTATGCAATTTACATGGGCATTCTGTAAAACGTTTTTATTTGATCTGTGTAATTATCCAATCTGGTGCAATTATCACGTGTATCAATCAACTCAGTCTCTATTGATCCATCGTCAATAAAAGCTGGATAGTATATCAGTTACGGTATCGATACATGCTTATAATCATTCAAGCAGATTACAGTAATGAGATAATTGAACGCCTCTTTCGACCTTGAAATAACAGCCTCCGGTAGAATGCATATGTAGTTACATCTTTGTTGAAAGGTTTGTCCCGTGACAAGTGTAAAATAAACAGATGCGCTGTTATATCATGGGACATCTTGCTTTATGGAGTCACGCCCCTCTCTGTGATGTGTATACATGCATGCACATCTGTAATCTTATGAACCTCGTTTGCATTCAGTAAAGATATAGGCACGCCCACCTTCATAAATATTGGGGGTGGGGGTGTCAACTGCAAGTTTTTACACTATAATAATTCAGTATAGTGTCACCTCGTGAATTCTGTAATGCGTGTACTCTAGTTTGGATAGTCATTCGTATCAAGGTGAAGATTATATTTACATGTACAGCAAACCATTATGTTTTATGTACTAGTTGTGTGCATAAAATGTATATGAAAATAAATACTACCTCTACTCAGTGGTTGGATTTCAATCGCTTTGTTTTACTAAAATGAGGACAAATAAACTCGCCAAAGTGACTATCTACTCCTATTTGTCTTATGTGTATATTTCATACATCTTTACCAGTGTGTATGTTTACAATACACAAACTGTTACATGATAGCTTGAGTTGATAAAGCCGAAACCCAGCATATCGACTGGTCAAGGATATAGCCAATAACCAATCTCTATCCAAGCTGCTGAGTGACTAAACGTGCTCTTCAGAAATTTCGCCCACGCCCCGTCACCTGTCCTTTCCTCTGTGACAGGTATCTCATGATATGATTGGTCGCTGAAAACATATGACCAGCCACTACATTGAACAGTTGAGATACCGAACGTTCTATTCGGGAAATTTGATCACGCCCTATCACGTGACTCTTTGTTTTATGCTATGAATGTGCTTTGTGCTATTCACAGACTAGCGTTATAGTACTTTCATTAAAATAATTCGTAAACACTAGAAATGTATCTGCAAAACCGCTATTTTCGTCGAAGATTATAAAGTATGAAAGTAAATTCTTCTTTACAGTATGTCATTGTCATAGATGTTTTGTAAATTTAAAACTCACACAATGATATAAGAGAGAGAATTTGTTAACGTGCGTCTCATCTGTTACATACAAAGAATACATGTGTATGCATATTGTGATAAAATATAAATGTACAAGCCGACAAAAGGTCTACAAGAGAAACTTGCAATAAAATTACATAAAGCTTGCAATACACGACATGTATTCACACCTGATTTCTTTCAACATATATCTTTACGACACAATTAAACAATCAGGACTTGTTTGTACGACTAGACAGTTTCCTGTGATCCCCGAAACCTGCCAGGGAAATCAGATGTGACTAGCACTAATTAGTCTCGGCACAGAGAGTGGGCGATCAGCGAGGGCTTCCAGGTGTTGAGTAGTGATGGGGCTCTCGGGCTTAATGAGTTAAAGAAATAAACACTATCATCAACAATGACAATAATTCTTAGAACTCTTTTCCTAACACTTGATTGTCTTATTCCTGAAACTTGTTTCAGCCTACAATCTTAAACTTTAAAATAAAAATTGAAGTCCAAGTAAATGTGTTGTTTATCAGCCGTGTGAGCCCCAAAATGCTATCCTCAGGAGTAACTCAACTTGTGGAAGCACAGGGAAACGTCATAACTTTTCCTAAAAGTACCTTAAAAGAGAGAAGGCATTCTGGGATTCCAGGTGGATGGATGGGAAGTATTTGAATAATTATTATCAGTGTTGATAATGTACAAAATTCTAATGAATACTTCCCTCCAACACTTGATTGCCAGTTGGTGGCCGACAACCATAAACAAAAGAGACTACTTGCTAACTGTTGAGATGAAAGACCTGCATTTGGTTGTGACAGCTTGAAACCCTTGCTTATAACATACTCCACCACATCCCAAACCTCATGTCATCCTGTCCGAGTTCTCCATACACCGGAGGCTGATGTTCTACCATAGTGGAAGTGAGATTAATGGTCTTTTTCACCCAGGCGATGTCTGTGACCTTGGTGATTATCTGATTTGTCTAAAGATGATATCCTTCATCTAAATGGGTCATAAAGCTTATCCGGTAATGATCGTTGAAAATGTGCCAGAGCTGGTATAGTCACCATCACTGTACCGTCCAGCAGTAAATCGACATCAACAAAATCAACCTCAACTTTGAGACTCTGTCCCACAACGTTGACACGCTTAAAATAGCTGTTGAATTCCTAGCTTTCATCATGAGTCTTTTCATGCATAACCAGAGAATCATCCGATAATGAAATATGTGGATAAGTACACAATAACATTCTATCATGAAGAGCTTCCACCTTAATGAATCCCTAATTTCGCCAACTGTTTGGTATATATATGTGATTAAGAGAGGAGGGAGAGTAGTGGGCTCTGTTTTCAGAAAAGATCCTTCTGGTCAGACTTTGTTCAATCAACTACTTCAATGCAAATGGAAAGGACTGGCACTGCAAAAGTATTTGTCTCTTTCACCTTGTTCCAAGCATATACTATAGCTTTTCTTTAAGCGACATTTTTACTCAGGCTGTATAACTGCAAATGTAGTTGAAAGTCATATTTTGCTGATTGGTCTTGGACCTTCTTTGAGAGTCATTTTAGAAGTTGGGAAGTACAAAAAATACAGATTCTTATACCAATGTCTAGAAGGAATTTGTGCTTGACAACAGTAGAAAAATCTGTATCAAAACATCGCATTTACAAAAAAAACAGAATTTGTTATCCATAGATTTGTCATCATCGGTCTTGGACCTGAATCATATGATTTAAAGACAAGGGACAAGGATCCTCGACAACTAAACCAAGACAAAATATATATGATGTTGAGTTAAATTATGTTCACTATAACAATATTCATTTTAAATTATTAGGAACAATTTTATAAAAGTAACAAAGGAACAAAAGAAACATATACATATAGGTTCATGATTCTAATTATTCTTATAACCCATGTCAGAGCTTGTAGCATGTTCTTCAGCAATGAGTAGAACCTGCTCCACACCCTGGCCACTCAGATAGTGCAAACACTCACTACACATGCTCGATATCAAAAGTTGAAAGTTGGGATGTGCAGTCCTGCCTCCATTAGATTTAAGAAATTGGGAGTTACTTGGACATTCCCCTCAACATGCTTCCATACTTACCGAAATCGAACTTTTATCTGTAAACTTTTGTCTTTCAGAAACACTGCCTCTTTTGGGCACACCTTGCGAAGAATTTCATGTGACAGTGAATTTTCCTGTTAGAAATTGATTCACACAATAAGTTTACATGCATATGTCAATGAATTAAGGGTTACAAGGCACTTGTGACAATCATCAAAATGTGGTAAGGATTTTCCAGCATCAACTCAAGTCATTCTCAAAATCATGCATATTTCATGTAGGCAAAAATTATAAATTTTGTTTTCTTGTTTTACCTTGAAATGTTGTTGATTACATTCATAGTATTCTGAATATACAAAACATAAATTATGCAAGCTTAACAACATTTCATTTTTCCTATGTTACCCTTTTTATTAGATCTTACAATATAAAGTAATATGTAGCAAAAGCTTCACAATGAGAATATGAATTATATTAAGCTTACTTGAAGCTCTATTACCAAACATACTTGCACTACATATTCCAGATATAAACAGTTAAATCAATTTTAATTAGATAAGGAAAATGATAATGTTATGGCATACTGTTAATGTTAATGATAGCGTTATGTTATGTTATGGTACTGTGAGTAAAATTGGGTGGTTTGGTGGGATTTAAATAGATATAAAAATATTTTTGTTCCAATTTTGTTACCGTAAAGTGTAGAATAAACTGAGATAAATTGGTTACCATAAAAAATATTGATTTTGACTTAAGTTTTTCGGGTACAAACACATATAATATAAATATGCAAAAAATTTTGAGAATGACTCAACTACATCTTCTTAATAAACTAAATAATATTTGTAATGAATGCCTGTGTTGGGATCTAAAGATGCATATATTTCCTATCCTGGGTAAATGTTACTATCGTCTGTCCCTAAATATTGCTAATTGTTGAAGTATGACTCGTGGTAATAAAACACTCGCTTGAGTGAACACCACCACTACCATGCCAGTCAGCACATGGTTCCTTACTGACACCCTTGCGCATGCACATGCGTCTCATGCAAAGCTACTCATACTTCCTCTCCAGTACTCCATCCACCCATACGTACACATACAGTAACACAAATGGTCTCTAAGGGATGACAGCAAGCACATAGATGCTTGTCACTAGACTCCTAAACAGCTAGCAATCCAGTGTCTGAAGATGCTGGTCACTAGACTCCTAAACAGCTAGCAATCCAGTGTCTGAAGATGCTAGTCACTAGAGCCCCAACACAGCTGGCCAACTAGTGTCTGAAGATGCTAGTCACTGGACCCCCAACACAGCTGGCCAACTAGTGTCTGAAGATGCTAGTCTCTGGACCCCCAACACAGCTGGCCAACTAGTGTCTGAAGATGCTAGTCACTAGAACCCCAACACAGCTGGCCAACTAGTGTCTGAAGATGCTAGTCACTAGAACCCCAACACAGCTGGCCAACTAGTGTCTGAAGATGCTAGTCACTGGACCCCCAACACAGCTGGCCAACTAATGTCTGAAGATGCTAGTCACTGGACCCCCAACACAGCTGGCCAACTAGTGTCTGAAGATGCTAGTCACTAGAACCCAAACACAGCTGGCCAACTAGTGTCTCAAGATGCTAGTCACTGGACCCCCAACACAGCTGGCCAACTAGTGTCTCAAGATGCTAGTCACTGGACCCCAAACACAGCTGGCCAACTAGTGTCTGAAGATGCTAGTCACTGGACCCCCAACACAGCTGGCCAACTAGTGTCTGAAGATGCTAGTCACTGGACCCCAACACAGCTGGCCAACTAGTGTCTGAAGATGCTAGTCACTAGAACCCCAACACAGCTGGCCAACTAGTGTCTGAAGATGCTAGTCACTAGAACCCCAACACACCTTGTCCACTAGTCTGTAAACACTATCATGTTTTGAAGAAAATGTTTAATACTAACTGCTGCACAGATTGAGTGCTTGAGAAGACAAAACATCTGCCTGTCTCGAAAGGCTATCCATGCTCGCTCTATAATAGATGCTGCTGCCTGTCGAATTAACCTGAAAGCAAACAATAGAATGTAATATCCATAATACATTTCTAACATTTGGATTAGAATTTACATTTAACTCAAAATATCACACCAAAATGTAATTTTCTGAATAAAATTGATATTTTATACTTATCCTGACTCATGCTATTTTGCTTGTCTTCTTCTTCTTGCGAACACAGTGGAACACTTGTATCTCCCAATTGAAGCTCCCTTCAATGTAAAATCACTAATTAGTACTCACCAAGAGTTGCCTCCCTCCTAGCCATTTGCGCGCAGGAACGGGGGCGCCACCTCTTCCCACATGTATCACTCTCTCCTTATATAGCGAGCCCAACACTTGAATTTTCAGGGAAATCCAAAGTGTTATGTGGGGAGGATGGGAGGGCTTACCTCATGAGTCAGGATAAGTATAAAATATCAATTTTATTCAGAAAATTACATATTTTTCCTTATCCTGACTCATGCTATTTTGCTTGTAGAATCCTACGGATACGGAGGTGGGTAAACAGAAAACTTTGGATTTAGATAATTAGTGATTTAATAACTGTAATAACTGTAATAACCCCTATGGGAACTTCATAATGGCACTGAATTGATAAATTCCTGCTGCTAAGTTTACCAGCTGCCATATATGGGTTACTACAATATATATACAATGATAAATATAAATAAACTACTCCTAATGGAGAAGTTAACCAAATATGTACAACGTCAATACTAGGCTTAAGACTAAGATAGACTTACCGGTAAGCTTGATAATTATAATAGCATAAACTTCATAGAGTTGTTAGCTAAAACATACTGTTATGAAATAACAGACATAGTACTGAGCTTAGGACTACAACTGGTCTTAAGCTAAAATATATGATAGCATAACTTCGTGGAGTTATTAGCTATATAGTACTGTTGTGAAATAAGCAGTAAAATTCTCGTAAGATTGACTTATCTTCTCCGAGGGACTGTCAACTGCTGTCTGCGAGGACCATGGGACCGAAATGGTGAATACCTGAGACGTCCTCGGTGGTGATATCTCTCAGATAGTGGTTGGCAAACACCATATCGGATCTCCAGAAGCAGCCCTCCATGATGGTATTCCAAGAGCAATTGCTGTGTAGAGCGAGTGTTGAAGCCAGTGCTCTAATTTCATGTGGATTAGATGCTCTTGGAGGGTCGAGTCCTGCAGCCTTGTAGGCGCGAAGTATGACAGTTCTAATCCATATCGAGATAGTTGTACGTGAGACTTCAGTCTGTGTAGCTGTCGATAGAGGGATGAATAATCGTTTGAGTTTTTGTCGCCTCGGTTTGGATCGTCGTAGTTATATTTTCAGTGCTCTGACTGGGCATAATGATAGGTCCAACGTATCATGAGGTCTGAGAATTGATGAGAGAGCTGGGACGTGGAATAATCTGTCTGGTTGACCTGGCAACTGGTTCTTGGTGATGAAATCCCAGCGTAGTCCCATATGCACGATGTTATGATTGTCATCAAACCGTGTTCTCTCGTAATCTAGTGCGCGTGAATTTCTGACATCCTGGCTGCTGTTAACAGGAACAATGTTTTCTGTGTCAGCAATTCGAATGATGTTGATTCCAGTAGTTCATATGCCTCACTTGTGAGGTGTTGGAGCACTACATTAAGATCCCATGCTGGAGCGCGAAATCTCTGTTTCTGATCCTCCTTTCGGAATGCACGTAGCAAGGCCAGTAACTCGAGGGTCTTTGTCAGCTTGACACCCGTTCTCATAGTTATCACGGAGCTTAAAGCTGCGAGATATGTTGATAATGTTGAGCCTTTTAGACGTTTAGTCTGTCGCAGGTAACATAAGTAATCAGCCACTTGTGGATGTGTAGCATTTCTCGCTGTAAATCCCTTCTTTGCAGCATAATTTTCGAAGCTGTGCCACTTGTCGTCGTACAAGTTGCGTGTGGAGTTGCGTAAAGCAAGCGTGACTGCTTTTGCCGCTCTGGCTGAATAACCAGGCCTTAATACAGTCCATACCTGAAGTTGGAATGCTTCTGGCTTTCCGTGCGCTTGTTTGGTGTGAGGATGTATTAGTAGATTCGAGCGCTTTGGAAGTTGTAGTATTGGCTGTCCGATTTCTTGAATAAGAGTTGGAAACCTCGTTCTCGCTGGCCAGTAGGGCGCGACCAAAATCATTTGGAGGCTCCGAGTTTGCTTGATTTTCTGTAACACTTGTGGGATTAACGCTGGCGGCGGAAACGCGTACGCGTTGAGTCCTTCCCACGATATGCTTAGTGCGTCCGTTGCCCATGCTAGTGGGTCTGGGACTGGTGATACGAATGTTGTCAGCTGATTGTTGAAGTGAGTGGCAAATAGGTCTATTAGTGGAGCTCCTATTTTCTTGATAATTTGTGCAAATATCTCTGTATGGAGCATCCATTCTGTTGGCGATGGTAGGTGTGGCCGAGAGAGAGCGTCTGCTATTACATTCTTTGCTCCTGGAATGTGACATGCTCTGACATGTATGTTGAGATTGTCGATTAGATCGAACAATTGAAAACATAGAGTCAATAGGTTCGGGGACTTGGTTGAGCCTTGTTTGTTCACATAAAACGCCACTGTTGAGTTGTCTGTGTGAATCATCAGATGGGCATTCTTTAGTAAGTTGCTCCAATGTAGTATGGCGTTTACTACTGCTTGCATTTCTAGCAAGTTTATGTGTAGTTTTCTCTCTTGTTGGCTCCATAACCCTGATGCCGTCCTGTTGGCGAGGTGTGCTCCCCAACCTTGGAGCGACGCGTCTACATAGAGATGTGTTTTGAATTCCCGGCTCTATTAAATAGATGCCTTCGCAAACATTCGATCTCTTGGTCCACCATAGTAGGTGAGGTTTGACGTGTTTCAGTAGACTGAATGGTTGAGGGTCGTCGAGATGAGTGTTGATGAGGACCTGTAACGGACGTAACTGTAGTCTGCCTCTGACTGTCATGTCTTGAGCTGACGTGAGTAGACCCAACAGGCTCTGCCATTGTCGTAGTGGTAGCGGAGAGAGTAAGGCTTGAGGGATTGTCTGTTGGATCTTGATCCATCGGTCCTCCGGTACGACGATACGATTCTGTGCCGTGAGAAATCGAATGCCTAGAAATTGCAGATCTTGCGTAGGTTCTAGGTCCGACTTGAGTAGATTTACTAACCATCCTAGCTGTGTTAGTAGCTTGATGATGAAGTTTAACTGTAGTCTGAGACGCTGTGGATCTGGATCCACTTGTATCCCGTCCTCGAGGTAGAACGCACTGCGTAGTCCTAGACGATGTAGGTAAGAGACGATAGGTTTCATCACTCTTGTGAACAACCACGGGGCCGATGAGATTCCAAAAGGTAGTACTTTCCATTGGTAACGCAGCCCGTCTAGTGTAAACCGTAGGTATTTCCTGGAGTCGGGATGTATCGGGATGTGTAGATATGCGTCTTGCAGATCTATGTTGGCCATGTAGTCTCTGGGACGAATTAAGTGCCGTAGTTGTGGTAGATGTATCATGCGAAACGTTGGCGGTTTGCGTAGATAGTCTCTGTTGAACGTGCTCATATTGTAGATGAGACGAAACTTCTCCTTGGAATTTTTCTTGGGCACTAGGAAAACTGGGGAGTAGAAGCCTGGTTCGATGTTTACTTGGTCCAGTACTTCTATTGCCTGCTTGGTTAGGAGCGTTGATACAGCTTCTCTTAACGCGGAGGCGTGGCCTGTAGTTGGATTCGATATCCGTGTTGTAGGATGTTGGAGACATATGGATCCTCTAGGAATCCTCAGTTTTCCCAGTGCAGTTGAAGGCGTCCACCCACTTGTGATGGTTGTACTGGAACGGCTGGGGGTGGAAGACTCCAGTCGTTCCAAACCTGTCCTTCATCGTTTATAGTTGCGGGAGCTTCTGGGTGCCCTGCCTCTTCCAGATCCTCCCCTGTAATTGCCGTACGGGCGACGAAAAGACTCTTTTGCTCCTCTTACATTTGCCATCTTCCTGTCCCGTGCTTTCTGTAGACCGGAGAACTTCGATTTGCCTGAGTACCTCTGCGAAGTTTGCCTGATGACCCTGGCTAGTGTATCCATCGACTTTATCATGAGTACCTCTCTTGAGTCTTTAGAGACTTCCTTAGAGACTTTGTCTATGCTTCCATCGAAGATTGACGGTGATGACCACGGGGCTGTGTAGAGTGATGCGGTGAACTGATCACCTCAATTACAGGAGGCGAGGAGACCTTGACGACGAGCCATAGTTATAGCTGCGGATACTGCTGTCAAGTGATCCGTTAGGAACTGCTGGTCCTTCTTCTGCATGAGGAGGGCCGAGTAAATCATCCTGTCGTCCTCACATGAAGAATCTCTGAACTTCGTGAGGAGAGTTTCGTTGACCGTTCTTGATCTGTTCAGACCAAAGAACATCCTCCTTGACATGGTTTCCATCTGGACTAGCTTGCGGTCGTCTATTCTGTAAGTCTTGGACTTGGCATCGCTGATCATCTTATAGTTATCATCGATATCTTGTGCCTTGTGAAAAGGGTCCATGTTGTGACCTGCAAACTTCTTAGCGTTGAAATGAGGCACATGCGGTGTCTGTGATTTCGTGGCTTTACTAAAGGCTGTATCCAGATTAGATGGTACCGCTGCTATCGGGTCAATCGGAGGTAAGGTGATTGTATCAGCATCATCTTCCTTCATAAGATATGTGTGGGCTGAGTTCTCGTTCTTAGATGGGGAGGATAGTTCCAGGTTATTCACCATCCAGTATCTAATTTCTGCGTCGGAAAATACGATACCATCATCTTCTGACGTCCGGTCGCAGATAAGATGTTGATGTTCCTCCGATGGTGACTGAGGTGGAGTCCTGTATCCATGTACATCTCTGCCGGGTGGCGTCAAAGGAGACCTGTCTGGGGTTTTCCGTGAGGACTTGTAAGATGACCGATGTGGTGATCTGTAAGTGGATCGACGAGGTGATCGATGAGGCGATCGATATGGAGACCGCGAGGAGAACGACGTGGTGAACGGA